AAGTGTGGCAGTGTTGTTTTAAAGTAAAAATCCTTTGATTCATGCAAAGCACGTGCCAATTTTATTTTAAGTTCTTGAATAATAGCTGATTGGGGATTACTTTTTTTGAGCCATTTTAATTTGCATTTTAGATGGATGATTTTGCGCATAATCTATGGGGTGCTTTTAGCAATCTTTTTAGATTTGGTTGGTACGAATTGGCTTATACAGTGATTGCACATTCTAGTGAATTGGTTCCATAGCGCATCAACATCACTCTCATTTTCAATAAAGTCATCATAACAACTTCTCATGTACTGCACAATAGACGCATCATCAGATCTTGCGTAATACTTGAAGCTTCGTGTAGTTGTGCGTTTGTGACCGACTGAGTTGATTAAGGGAATGGTAACACTTACAAGATGATGGTGAGACACGCCACTTTCAATTAGAACTGTATATTGATAAATATCGTGGCTTAGGAACGCTAAGTTCAATATTGCACTGGACGAACCTTGTTCTTGAGTAGGCTGCCCAACCACTTGAACGAGGTCGTGAGTAAGCATGATGTCAAAGACTGTGCTAGCATTTTTGTTTGATTTGCGGCTTGTCTGAAGGAGTTCCCAATCAACATTCGGTAAGTTGAAATCCCCGATAACAAAAATTTTTTTACTCTGAAATTGTGTCATATGTTCTTGCAATTTCAGCAAATATTCAGGAGCAGCGTCTGGTGGTCTGTAACACGCGTATAGAACAAAGCATTGATCCCAACAAGTTATTTTGATACACAAACACTCGAGGTCAATGACATCCGCTAAAACAATGGCTTGTATTGAAGGCTTGACAAGGATAGCAACATCTCCGCCCTTATTCGTCCGGTCCTTACGAAAGACACTGTAACTCGGGGGAAAAACTAAATCATCACTTATTTCATTTCGTAACCAAGTTTTGGTGAATACAGTAATGTGTGGGTCGTATTCGAGTAGTGTGGCCTCAATAGAATCTTTTTTGTTTATAATGCTTCGTGTGTTTATATTTATGATTTGCAAGTTCTTTGCCTTCGGTTTCTTAGGTTTGCGGGTATTCTGATCTACTTGACGAGATAAATGAATGCGTTTAACGGATGTGGAAGGGCCCTCGTTATCACCCCTCAATCTCAATTCTTGCTTTGCTTCTGCGTGTAGCCTCTGGTATTCAGGCGGTTCATGCCCGCATTGCCGTTTTTTCGCAACGGAACTTTATCATTCAAATGATAATCCCAGATGTAAGGCACGTTGTTTATGTATAGTTTATCGAACGCTAGTGAAACCTTTTCTCTTTTGTCACGGTTCTGCTTCGCACTAGCCCACAATTTCCTTCGGACGTCCCGAATTCTTTGGGAAAAATCTTCACCAATGGAATAGTCCGTGTCCTTGAGTTTAAAGCCTCTTTTTAGTATTGCATATTTACTTCTTGAATCTAACAGTTTAAGAATGACAGGTCTCGTCGAGTCATGTCGTTGCTTGCCTAGTCGGTGTATACGCTCGATTTGTACGCTCTCAATTTCAAGGATATCCTGAAAAATACCTTTATTTACTACAGTTTCAAGTGCGGTGTTAGTTTCATCTTCTTTTTCTGGAAGCCCATAAACGATCAAGTTGGAGCGTCTGCTATGGTTTTTCATGTCGTCTATTTTTGATTCAAGTACTTTAATAGTGTTTTCCATGCAGTTAATTTGCTCTTGAAACAATGCTACTCTTTGTTCAAGAGCGGAAATCGAATCTAATTTCCTTTCAATGTCTGGAAGACGCGTTTCCTTGATTTCTTTAATGTCTGATGCAATTTCCTTAAGGTGTTTAGCAATTTGGGCTGTGATGCTGACATTTTCTAGGAATACTGCTGACAGTACTGCTGACATTTTCCAGGAATAAATACCTGACAAGTGAAAAAAAGCAATACATAAATTAGATAGTTGATAAATGTAACACATGTTTCTGTATGCAGTGGTTGTGGTGCCAACAGAAGGATAATCTTGCTTTAACAAAACAGCATCAATTCATCAAAATATTCATTGCACATTCTACGAAGTACTTATAGGACTAGAAAAAGTATGCCTGTGTTGTAGAAAGTTTTGATTAAAATTAAAAAAACCCATTAAGTATTTAGACCCAATTATTCCTTGTAAACAGCACTTTTTGGCATAAATTTCATAAAGATTCTGTTAGACAACTGGAAGAATTGTCTGTTTTTGTGTAATTTATAAATAGTCTGACGAGTGGCACTCACTACATGCAAGAAAATAGAACAGATATACGTAACTAACGATACATTTAGCTGATTATAGATCATTTATTACAGATTATACAACGAAAATTTTGAAGAAATCATTATATTCAGAATAGCATCGCTCGCCAATGTTGTGTACTTATGTTGCATACAATGTTGCGCACTAACCACAACTTTCAAACTGTGCCAACATTTGAAATGACAACTTTCTCAATATTGATAAATGAAATCCCGAAGTCGCTGAAGCTAAAATTTTATCATAAATATTTTTTTCGAAAGTGTAATTTCATTAAAGTAGACCCAACAATACCGAGGAACCTTATTGCGTCAAAGCATTACGTAAAAGAAAAAATAATACAGGTGCGGCTGAATTTGGATGGTAGATAACCCATGACTTTCTCGCATTCGGCAACTGCCTTCATATCTATTTTACCTTTTAAGTATGACCGCACGCAGAAGTTTATAATTTCGAATTGATTATTAAAGCACTAGCATCAGCCCTAAATCACATGGCGCATTAGCGAGATGCGCTCGTCGTCAGCGACAGGCAGTCCCGCAAGAAGCGAACATGAAATGGCCGCTCACCACGCGTCAACATACACAACCGGTGGCTGGGCGCCTGTCCTTCGGACCCCGTCATTTCAGTTAATTTCAAGTTTTCCCCGAAAACAGTGTATTGCTAATTAAAAACAAAAAACGCCGAATTGAATCAGTGCTCAAACAGTGTACCGAAGAGCGTTTCAAATATGTCCAGTTATTCCTTGTATCAAGAGACTACGCAATCTGCCATCTCGCCGAGACGAGCTAGGACTACAGCTAGGACTACGCTGCACCCGCTTCTTAAGACATGGGCTTTTTTCGCCCCGTAAACCTGACCGCAAATTCGCATATGGCATTGAGAGAACAAGGGCAAATACAAGTACTGCTGATATTTACTCACCTCCTATTTCAACTTTAATGAACAGCTCGTCGCTGCAGGGTTGTGACGCCTGTGACATCCATCTGACGTGCGAACGAAGTGAAGAAGGCGTGCAGTCATACAGGTAACACGCAGTGGAATGTGGAAGCGAGCATAAACGGTGCACTGGCTTAAAGCTCAATGAATTGCAATATTTTTGATGACTTTTGTAGTATTACATAAGTGTTTTACAGCCATTCCAGTTTGTGGGGTTCTGTAAATTGCCTGTCTGGATGCTTTGGTGAACTATTTTTCTCAAGCGCAGTAGGGTTGTGCACAGGCCGAATGGCACGCACAGGGTAAAAAGTGTGCAGTTTAAACGCCACACTGCTTACTTGCTGGTAAACTTCGGTCCTTTGGATGAAAAGAAAAAAAAAGAGGTATTCTGTAGCGAAGCCATTGCGAACTGAATTGCGAACCGGAACAAATGAGTGTCTTTGGCTATTCGGTAGCTGTTCATCTGACTTCACAACAAAGTGATCAAAGAAACGAACACATCCATTCTAACCACTTTAGTTTTTTACCGCTTGTATGTGCTCGCATAACATGAATTTCTGTTGAGTAGTATATAATACACAAAAGTAGTAAGCTTGATGAACAGGCTAATTCTGTGAACACTGGCCAGCAACCACGGTATGTGTCAGGAAAGTCCTTGGCCTCCATGTTAAATATCACAGGTATTTTCCAAAACTTTTGTTTCGTTACTGAGAAGGGCAAACAACTAAACGCACACTTTTAAGAATATGTTTGAGGCTTTCGCTACTATCTCGCCCATATTTTGCTTGTAGGACATGTCATTTTCTGTCATGCTGTCCGGGCATTGACCAATGATAATGGAAGCCAATGGAAATCCAAGCTGTTTCCAATCATCGGTGATCAGCCACTGCTGGTAGGGTCCAGGTCGAATCACATCTAAATCTATCCACATCCTAAATAGTTGAGTCAGTAAATACAGTAGTTCAGGTTGACCTAATTCAATCCAATTCACATCCTAAGGGGCGTGGGCTTCAGCCATTATGGTAAAATTAATTATACTATAGTGCCTAGAACATACAGTATATTCTAGGTGCTATATTTATACTTTTATGGTAGAACTGGCCAAACTTCCTTGCCCTCATTTTACACGAATGCCATGAGATGACACCACTTCTACATTTCTTGGCAGCTTTGACTGCGATGTCGGACTGTCATCTTTCATCTGCAGTTACTTTTAACTTGTGTGTTTGCTTCCTGGTTCTTCCTAACATCAAACAGCTGACTTTATGACTGCCTGGCAGAGGAGTGAATTCCATTTTGGCCAGATATACTTATTTTTTTGCATTTACCGCACGTGCCTAAAACATTCTGATTGCATCTAGTAAATATATTTGCTTATTTTATATGGAGCGCTTGATTTTTTTTACCCCTCTAGGGCTTGTTTTCAGTGCACAGAGTTTTCTAAGCAAAGGTGGCAGTCATGGAATTTGCTTTTAATCATCATCATCAAAGGCAGGGAATTCAGAAATATCAAATTGGTATACACGCTGTGAACTTTCCTGAGTTGCAAACCATATTTTCTAACACAAAAGTGTTGTATTTTTTTTTGTTTCCTTCAATAAGTAGTAAATGGCCTGTTTATCACAGCTAGAAACCTCCCTTCCCAAGAAACACCAAACGTCATATAAACTTCTCGAAACGTCTAGAAAGGTATGCGGACATCTAGGTATAATATTTGACGTTGAATAAACGTTTTTCAAAAGAAGTTTTTTATAAGATGTTGAGAAAACATTCTTTACAAGAAGTCTTTTTCAAAACGTTTACTAAAAGTTATTTTCTAGAACTTCGGTAGAATTCGCAGATGAGGTTCCGGGGGTGTTTTCTATGTTTCTTTCCTTTCTTGAACCAAAATAATATTCGCTTTACATATTTATGTAGTATATATTTTTACATATTTTTACATATTTAAGTGTAATAATTGACCTCTCAAGAAATTGAGATGCGCAAATGCAGTGTGCGCCTGCGCGGCTAGAACAATTTTACTTGTGTGGACGTGTTTACCAGCCGCTCAGTGGCCTCTTGAAGAAGTGGGTTTGAGTCGATTCCTCTCGTGTTTTAAAAGTGTGCTTGCGCTTTGTGTTCATGTTTTGTGTTCTGCCAGTGCTGCTGATTACAAAGATGAGCTATACTCAAGCGAAGAAGTGTGGCTTCGTATCGTGGAGCACTCGCCAGGTATGTACCTCACTGCTGCTCTCGGCGCTTTGTTATCACTCACAACGTTTTTCCTACCATGTGCACGATAAGTGAACGTTTGTTTACATGGGCACCCAGCTTTTCTGTAGTACTTCAGCAGTGTAAAGGCAAAGTAGTGCGAAGTTAAGCGTGGACAAGTTTTTTCTTTTGTGTGGAGTGTGAAGCATGCGGCAAGGTTCTGTTTGCAAATTTCTTCGCTAAATTTGGTGGCAGTCTGGAAACAACCACCCCAAAGTCTGGCAACTAACTTATGCAACGCCTAACGGAACCTTGCCAAGCATGCACGCGTGGCGGTAATTTGGCGGCAGATTCGAGCAGAGTTGTGGTGGCTGTCCGCCTCTTTCTGGTTCCCGGAGATCGTTGCAGAAGCTTGCATGCTTTGTTGGGATGGTGTGTGGTTTAAAATGAGTGCCTCACATGTTTTTTGTTTTTTTTGCATTGATAGCCTGTGGTGCTTGAGTGAGGGGTACTGCCATTTTAGCCTACTAGAACATTGAAACTGATGACCATAATTTGGCAGCATACAATAGTAATTTATTGACACCAATTTATGACATTATAGGTATAATTGTCCCAGTGTGAGCAGCCTGAAAAAAGCTACATTAGTTGTATTTGAAATCAAATTCATGTTCAATAATATAAGTTACCTCTAATGGATACTTGATAAAAGTGCATACCATCATGTATATGTTGAGGTATCATTGAATTTGCTTTTAACGCACTATGCACGAGCGCAATTCAAGCATGGTTTTGACACATCTGCAATGTGGAAATTGCATTTTCTTTCATAAGGTTGCAACTGTGTTCACCAAAAACATCAAGAAAGTTTTACTTGTAACATCTCTAGTTTGTGTACATTCTGTTTGTTTTAAGATACATTGCTCCAAATCATCTTAATTATGCTGACAAATTCAGTTTTTCTAAGAGACACATGTCACTAAATTGTTTTTTCGGTGTTTCCATCGCAGCCTATGCATGCCCCTCATACGAACTGAGTGTGAAAGAATTCCGGACAAGCCTGTCATCAGTGGTGGCTCGTGGAAAAGTTGGCTACTGAATGTACAGCAGCTGTGTATGACTTCTGTTTCCTATGGAAAGAGAACTTCCCTGAGCCACCCGGTTGCTGTATTCAAGTAGCTCGCATGTTCAGCATGTTCAATATTAGGCCTTTTGTTTTTCTATAAAGAAGTCAGTGCTGTAAGTTGTGTGTGTAAAAGCCACCTTTGTAGATATGTAAGTGTTCAGAAGAACACAATGTGCAACAATAGTTATCACTGTCAGCCCTGCCCTTGAATAAGATTCAATAATGAACTTATTAGTGACTGCAGCAGGCAGCCATGCACGTATTAAAAATTTGAGCCAGTCACATTTCTACTTAAGTTCAAAAAATTCTGGAATGCCTGTGCTCAGATATCCCGCTGGAAAGTATAGTTGTGGCTTGTATCATTATGCATGCAGGACAGTGAGCACTAGCACACAGCTACTCCTCCCCGAGGTGCCGCATATAATCTGATCATGGATCGAAGCCATAGACAAGCATTATAATGGTTATCTTTTTACTACCGGCTGGAACAGCAAGCACTGACTGCTTATCTCACTAGGGAGTAATGTTTTGGTGATCCTCGCTGCCTTGCATGCGTAACCATGAAAAACACAATAAACTTCCGACAGGAATATCTCAGAGCAGAGACCTGCTCGAAGAATTTTTCCAAGAGGGAGTGCGTAGAAACACGACTGCCACAAACTGTTCTATGCAAATATACCCACTTATTGTAGGCACCAAAGTTTCAGTATTCTTAGTTGATTAGGCAGCTTACAGCATTATTGTCTTACTTTGTGTTCCCCTGGGCACATAACTTATCTGCAAAGGCAGTTTTCTGTTCTTATGGCTGAATTTTATGACAAGCACAAAGCACGTGTCTGATTGTCTCAGTGCTGCTTTCTAAGGTTTTATGTCATGTTTAATTTATGTGTAATCTGCAGTTAGTCACTTAAAATTGAACTTTTTACATTGCATCAAGGCTGTAGCAGCTCAATGGTTTTATTTTCACTGTAATATTGACTGAATATTTTGTTTTATTATTGTTGTAACCTTATTTCATTGTCTTCTGAAATTTAATGACGTAAGTTCAATCAAGTGATTTTTTCTATTGTCATACTTTATCATACCTAACTTTGCCAATACCTAACCATTTGTGATATATTAGTGATACTTAACCATGTTTAACATTGTTAATGATGACTGACAGAAGGCATTCTGGAATACTGTAGCGTTTTTAACTTCACTGTGTCTTTTGTGCGAGTATTTTGGGATGGAATTAGAATTAGGGGTGTTGCTAATATCATAATTTGATTATTAAACACAGATTTGTGGTGAAACCCATTAATTTCAACTACTCATGGTTCTAACATACCTAAATTTAGAGGTGAGAAAAAAAAATCAATTGTTCGACTGCTGCTTTTAGGCTGTAACAAATTTTTTACCTTTATATATTTGCTGCTGGGCCAATGTGTTTGCTAAGCTAGCCTTCTGAATTTCGTTGCACTGACAGAAGTCTGCTCGAAGAGAACAGTTTGTGCCTTTTGTATGTGTGCAGGTTCCTGGACCAAGCATCTGGCCAGCCTCTCAATCGCTTTGTACAATTATAGTTACTTTAAAGCATGCAAGTTTTGGGACAAAGTGTGCAGTCATTGTTATGTTTAATAAAGGTTACAAGTATGCATTAAGATTGGTTGAAATTTTGCATTTACTTTCGAATGTGCAGCATAATGCATTCCAGGTAACAGCAGAAACAATTATAAATTGACGTTTAAAAGCCCGTGTGGTCTCCAAGCAAAACAGATTATCGTAATGATAGATGGCAGTCACTAATTAATTCTTTCAACAATTATGGCACCAATTTTGCTGATTAGAATAGTGCCGGCAATAATTTGATGCTAAATTATGTTGCTGTTCCTACTTGTCACTCTCGACAGTGAAAAGCTAAATGCACTGATTGTAAAACGCTGACATGGTGCAGCAAATTAACCATGGGAAACGCTCAACAAGCTGGTTTGCATGAAAAATAAATGCCTAAAAAAGGTGTTAAGAGATCTAGCAAAAGTCTTTTTAGAATCTTGGCAAGAAGTTTACTAAGCTTCTGATAATATAAGTATAGTAAACGCTTACAAAAGTTCTTTGAAAAATCTAAAAAGACGTCTTTTAGACTTCTTGCTAGAAGTTTTCTAGCCGTATAATAACGTGGCGTTAGCACAGCTACAGGAGGTTTTTAAGCTGCTTAGGTTTAAGTAACTTCTCAACAAGACTTCTTATATACTTTTGAACTATCCTTTTTGGACATTTACTAGAAGTTGTTTAGCTTTTCTTGTGTTTGGTGGGTTCTTTTTTACCTTCAAACTGTCCGTGTTAATGGTTAGACTTGTAAAGTACGCTGGCAGGCCTTTGCGAATCCAATAGAAATTGCATTAGGCCTGAGACATGGCTTGTCTCTCGGAATCGATTGGAAGTCACGGTTTATTGTGAAATTGTCTGCATAAATAATGTCTGATAAATCAAACATCTACTGAAAAATCGTGTCTAATAAATCAAACATTGAATAAATGCTAAGTCTTCTGGTTCTTGCCGCATTATGGCTCACTGCAGAGGACACCTTTTCACTAGTTCACTTAAACGGCATCTCCATGCACATTACCCGAATGGTATGTTAATCGAACGTGCCATGCTATACAATAGCTTAACTTGGCCCTTATCCAAATAGCAACCACAATTACAATGTGCATACTTTCAGCTCGTGCTGGCTGGGCATGTCATGTGAACAAATCTTGCTATACAATAGCTGAACTTGGCCCTTATCGAAATAGCAATCACACTTACATTGTGCAACCTTTGAGCTCGTGCAGGCTGCATCTGCGGTCGCTACACAACACCCACACAAGTGCGGCCAGTGTGCCTTCTAAATGACAGTGGCACAGTGGTGGTGGTAGAAACAATTATCACCACTTTAGAGTGCGGGGGCCGAGCCTCCTTATGACACGTGGGTGCTCCCTCACGGTGAGGAGGCACCCTTACAAAGCAAAGGAAAGCCCTTGAAGTGCGATCCTCTTCATGGCACGAGATCATCTGGCGCTGATCAAACGCAGAAGGATCATGATGGTCTCCCAGTATAACACTGCCACAGCCGGAGGTGGGTGATGTGGGAAGGTGAAACATGTGAGGAGTATGTGAAGGAAGTTTCCTGGTTTGCCACCAAGTTTGCATGAAGAGGGTAATTGGTCTGGGTAACGGGCGTTTAGTAATACGGGGTATGGAGCAGTCCGAGTTTGTAGGCGTCGCCAATGTGTGGCCTGTGCTATGTTTGGGGATGGGGCTGGGGGTGTGTATATTCTTCGTTAATCCTGGTAATACGATAGAATATCATGAAAAGAGAGCAAGCGCTCCTTGACCTACAGAGGGGGCTCCATTTCTCCTGCCCGGAATGTGAGACCTTGGGCTAGACAATGAGCCTCCTTGTTGCCAAGGAGGCTGGCATGTGCTGGCGTTCAGATGAGGGTTGTGGAACGCTGAGGCTGCCAGAAGCGTAGCAAGCGAGCAGCGGTATGGGATATCAAGCCATTTGCGTAGTGCACAATAGCTGATTTCGAGTCACTAATGATTGTGGTGGCGGGTGCAGAGATGAGAGCAAGCGCGATAGCTGCCTCTTCTGCCTCTGTGGAGGAATTTGTGACAATTGAGCACAAAGCTAGAAGATTTGCCTGATTGTCAGCCACCGCAAGGGCCATGCGGGATCCTGACATTGACTCACTGACAATGCATATTTCAGGGATCCCACTTCTGCACCAACTACGCCAAGGTGCGCCTAATGAGATTTGCTGCACCAACCTGATAAAGTCAACAAAAATTTCATCAAACATGTGCCAAACCATCCACTTAGGGTTCCGCAACCTGTGGCCCTCGGGCCAGGCTTGCTGGGCAGTTTTATGCGGGTCTTGGCATGATGCCAAAAATCTTAAAATCGCTAGACACTGTAATTGCGGCAGTATATAAATAACTATAAATAATGTTTTAATTACCGGAGAAAGCAGTCGAGTCTATTGAGAAAATTTTTACTTTCCCGCGAACAGGTCGTTGCCACTTCGAAAAATTGGCCGCCAGTACTTCTGCATAGCAATGAAATTCCTCATTTTGCGGCGGGACCGCAACCAAAGCTCTCATGAGCGCAACTATAGCGGAAGGCTAGAAATATGTCACTGTTAACAACGGCAATTGCAGTGGTGTTAAAGTTCTGCATTGGTTTACTCATGTACGACAACACCATATATATGTACTCTAATTGCAAACGTAACCCGGTTACAGCAAAGAATACACGTAAAAACAAAACCAACATGCAACAAGCACGACATATTGTTTATTTTGTAAAATAAATGGATGATAGATCGCAAAAGGCTTCAAGTACAGGTTTGATAACCAGATTTTCACGTTCCAAGGATATCAGGCTGTTGAAGTTAGAATGCCAAATAACGATGATATCCAGGGCATCCAATCAAATGCATATGTGTGTGCACTTGTATAGCTCTTTGTAAGAGCTTGCTTTATATTGAAGGGAGACTAAAAAAAAGATGATTTTTCTCGAATCTCAATAATTCACTCTTTGAGTTTAAATTATTGTCAGATTTCCCAAACTTTCGTCAAAATGTCAGATTTCCCAAACTTTTGAAAGCGTTGCCACATCTTAGGTCAACAAATTTTCAGAATGTAATTGCTGAGAGTGACGTCAAATGCTAAACTAAAGCATTTAACTTAGGTAATCTCACTGAGAATCCAATATTTTTAAGACCATTTAAAAACAAAAGCCATCTTCAAATTTTTTAAACTCTTTATCTATAAAAACATTTTGCACTATTTCTGGCAGAATGGAGTTACAAAGCACGAAACCTGGTAAAAATGAAGTAAACTGAGTAACCGGGGCATCAAGCGAGCAGGAATCAATACAGTCGAATCTCAATAATTCGAACTCTAAGGGGCCCGAAAATTTGTTCGAATGAAAAGAAGTTCGAATTAATGAAAGCTAAATGAACGGAGGGTTCTGCATGTAGTGGCGCATGTACATTGAGCTAACACACGAGGGGGAAGTTTCAAAATACTTACATTTATTCACAGATTACAGGACATCCGTCATTAATTGAAGTAATCGGTGATGTGCATATGTACACTTTTACCTTAAGTGAGTCAATTTCGCATGCAGCTTGCTTTAGTATTTTTACTTCGGCTTCAGCGTTCTCATGGCAAGAGAAGTTGCATGCGGCTATGTCCAGTGCCGACACCACAGAACACCTAAAGGTGCGGCGATGGCGTAGTGGTCAGAGCATCTGCCTCACATGCAAGAGGTCCGTGGTTCAAATCCCGGTGCCGCGCAGTTCCCAACCGGAAAAAAAAAAAAAACACCTATATACTAGGTTTTAAGACGACGACAATGACTGTATCTCTGCTGCTACCCTTCGCGCCCCAGCCACAGCGTGGCCAGCACGTGATGAGAAAGGAAGAGCGTCTCCATGCAGAGAGAAGGAGATCAGCATTTGAGAGATAACCAACCCTCCACAACACCTTTTTTTTCTCTCACTCTTCGCATGCGGCATTGACAGGGGAAGGGTCTTTACGTATCAGGGGTGGGAAAGGGAGAGGCGTGGCACTAATGCGTCACAGATCGGCATTTGAGAGCCAACATTTCAAAGAGGCGCTGCGCCATGCTCCCTACAGGACTGCATAAATTAGGTGCCTTTCTTCCGCTTTCCTCTTTTAACCCCTGCCACCACCGCTCCGCGACAGCTTTTTTGTTCCTCTCTCTTCGCATGGGACGTTGAAAGGAGAAGGCTCTCTACGTGGCAGAGATGGAAAAGGGAGAAGCGTGGTGCAGGCGCGTCCCAGATCGGCATTTCAGAGAGAGCAAACATTCCGCTCCAACCTTTTCTTTTCTTCTTTTTCTTCTTCGCGCTTAGTGTTCAGGTGTTGGAAGGTGCCGCCATAGGATTGGGCGCTGTGATGAGAGCATTTTCAGAGTGCAGTATGTTTGAATTAATCGTCGTAAGTGCTCGAGCGTTCAAATTACAGGGTGATTTCATCTATTAGAATACACATAGCTTTGAAGGGACCACAGCGTCAGTTATTAACCGAAAGTTTGAATTAAGCGTGTTTGAAATAATGAGACTCGACATCAGTAAATTACATTTTCAGGCTTCTAAAATCATCATGATTGCCAGAACTTTCTCAGTATGCAAGAAAACACAAAAAAAATTCAGCTGGCTTTACATAGTTAGATTAATGCATCAATTGCCATGACTCCATAAATTTTGACGTTTTTTACTGGGTCCAACATAGCTCTTAAGTACTAAAAACAAAGTAAACTCATTTCTGAGATGGCTCTAGACTTAATGTACTGAGTCCCAGGATAGTACTTTGAGTGAATGTTACTTAAGTAAAAAAATGTACATTGACATTTGTGATATCACGTGCACGGATTTCAGTGTGAAATTCAGAAATGATTGTTTTAGCTATATTTTCTTTCCAATTAATAAACCTGAGATGATTAAAAGAACGTTATGAATGTTCTCGAAGCCTTTTTTAATCTTGAAAGATCCTTTCTTCTAAGTCAGCGTACATTTAATAATAAAGTGTTTGAAGTACTTTCTTCTTTGAAGTGCTTCATTATATACCTATGCCAAAGTGCTTCTATAATAGTAAGATCACCTGCTCTAAAACTAAAATTTTACTACTGTAAAATGCTAACAATAGCAAGATAACCTGTTCCAAAATGCTCCAGAACTAAAATTTTACTGCTCGAAGGTGCTCCTAATTGCAACATTACCTGCTCCAAAATGCTTTAAAACTCAAATTTTAGTGCTCTAAGATGCTCCTAATTACAAGATCACTTGCTCTGAAATGCTCCAAAACTAAAATTTTACTGTTCTAAAGCGCTCCAAAAGTAATATTTTACTGCTCCAAAACTAAAATTTGACTGCTTTAAAAATTGCTTCAAATCTGCAGTCCCCAGTGGGATCACTGTGCGTATGCACCAAAATTGATATTGCATGATCTGACTGTATGACGAATATTGATGAATATAAGTGATTGGTGGTAATATGAAAATCACATCAAGCATGTCATGTAGCACAACGTGATTTACATGCCACACTCATGGGGCACTTGCGTCGTGTTCCCTAGGTTGATATGCTCCAAATTTGTATTGCATGATCTGACTGCATGATGAATATTGACAAATATAAATGGCAGGTGGTAATATGAAAATCACGTCAGGCATGTCATGTAGTACAACGTGATTTACATGCCACACTCAAGGGGAACTTGCATCGTGTTCTTTAGCTAGATATGATCCAAATTGGTATTGCATGACCTGACTGCATGACGAATATTGATGAATATAAATGGCAGGTGGTAATATAAAAATCACGTCAGGCATGTAATGTAGTACAACGTAATTTACATGCCACACTCATGGGGCACCTATGTCATGCTCCTTACCTTTATATACACCAAAATTGGTAGTGCTTGTTCGGACTGTATGACAAATACTGATGATTAAGTGGCAA